CACACACACACACACACACACACACACACACACATGTGCCGCTTTGGCGGCAGACGGGTGTGTGGGCACTTGGCGCTGAACCACACAAACGTGGCCAACCTTGCATTCACTATTATATTGCCTATCTAAACTTTTTCGTTATGGATGGCTTGTGAAGGGAATGAGAGAGAGAATATGGGGTCTTTTAAAACAACACACACACACACACACACACACACACACACACACACACACACACACACACACACACACACACCAACCGTACCTGCTTTGGAGCGTGCTTCTCTCTCCTTCCAGAGGTGTTTTGAGATGCAGTCTGTGACCTCACAGTTGCTAATGTTTTCAGATTTCCCAAGTAAACTGGGACATAGTCGTTTCAAATCCTCTGCACAAATGCGCTCTGCAACCAAAACACGTTCATTCGGATTCAAACTTCAGCATGCGCTTGCAAATTTGATTACAAGCTAAGACTTGTGCAACAAAAGAGGAAGGAAGCCTCAGGCAGCTCAAAGCATGTAAGCTCTTCCACAAACATTTTCCCCCCACACTGTAATTGTGAACTTGGAAACAATAGAGAGAGACTATATGGGCCCAGAGACTTCGTGGAGCCATAAGACGATACACAGACCACAGACTGTCTGCATGCAACCCAATGCCTGTGTGAACGCAGAGAGTGCATAAACCCAGACATTGGCTCCACGAAGTCTCTGGGCCCATATAGTGACTATATGGGCCCAGAGACTATTATGACCTGGAAGAGACTATTGTGGCCCAAGGACTGTAGTAAACCCAGGGGCTATAGTGATGAACCCAGAGGCTGGATGGATCCCGAGACTGCAGGAACCCAGGCAGTATGATGACCGGATGCAGATGCCCAGAGACAATTACAGCCACAAGACTGTATAGACCAAAAGACTGCATAAACTCAAAGACTATTGATTCCCAGCTACTATTGGCCTGGAGACTATTAGCACAGAGATGGAATGGTGCCAGGGACTGCATGAACACAGAGACTATGACGACCCAGAGACAGGAGATGGGCCCAGAGGCTACTCAACCCCGAGACCGTATAGACCCAAAGACTGCCTGAGCTATTAAGGCCGCAGAGACTAATAGCCCCGAGACTGGATGATGCATGGAAACTGCAAGGACACAGAGAATATAATGATCCAGAGACCGCAGATGGGCCCAGAGAATATTGTGACCCAGAGACCGTAATGGGCCAAAAGCTGCATAAAGCCAGAGACTATCATGGCCCAAAGACTATAGTGACCTAGAGGATATTGTGACCCACAGACTATTATATGACCCAGAGACTATAATGACTCAGAGAACAGTACGGGCCCAGAGACAGCAGGAACCGAGATTGTTGATCAAGCCATAATCTGCATGGAATAGTCCCAACATTGGGCCAACAACCACAACCTACACCCAAGAGCCATAGCATGCAGGGGATATAGCTTAAATAGCCACAGCCTCCTCTGAATAGCCACACAAACAACCTGTGTCGCGTCCACTGAATAGCCACACAAACAACAAGCGTCGAATAGCCACACAACTCTCGCCAGAAAGTTGGAACGTGCACTCGATAGTCAGACCCTACACTGAATAGTGCCACCCACCATCCACTCAATACCCACTTAGACTCCATGGTAGTGACTATCCAGAACTACCACGAGATATCTGCTAAAAAGAGGGGGCGCGGGCGGGGGGGGGAGAGAGAGAGAGAGAGGCGGGGGGGGGGGGAGAGAATATATGCAGCCCAGTTTAGGCAGCATGCTAGTGTCCGTCTGGAGCAAGGACCAAGCCACGGTGGTAGGCAGGGCAAGGCCAGGTCTCATTGGTGTCCGATGGTCCGCTGATTCGCCACCCGATTCATTAACTCACCGACTTGTGCTTCTTTGTATTCCCCCCCTTGTGCCCACGTTCTCCGATTCATTTACAGACCTTGCTACTGGCTCACCTGTGCTTCTGTGTCTTCCTTGTTATGTAATAAACATTTGGACCATTTCTGCAGTGTTCTCCGATTCGTTTACCGACCTCGCTACTGCCTCGCCTGTGCTCCTGTGTCTTCCTGCGTGCAGTGCTCTCCTAGTCATTCAGAGAGCAAGCATCGATCAATCATCAGGTTGAAGACTCGAAGAACGACACGATCGACCGACGAACACCATGCATTCACCACGACAGTAAAAATCATGCGCAGAGGAGGACTCAGAAAAGACTCAGAGAAGACACACGATTCATTAACACAACAGGTAGGGAGGGACATGTCATCCTCATCACGACAGGCACGGTAAAGGTGACGAAAGGTGATGAAGGAAAGTTCAACATGCATACTCATGCCTTCCAACTCGAGCTGCTGTGTGAAAGATGCGACCATCCATACAAGTTACATAGACAAAGACAACACAATCAGGGTAGACGCGGGCCCATGAGGACCTCTTTCTCTTCAAAAAAAAAAAAAAAAAAAAAAAAAAAAAAAAAAAAAAAAAAAAAGTGATGATCCGACCAAACACGGACTGAGGACTGAGACACAGCTGATTTCTGAGTTTTGCTCATGGACTGAATGCCTTGCCGAGTTTCCAGCTTGCGACTAAGTTCTTGAAGTCTGTGTGTGTGCACGCTTGCTGGTCTGCATGTCTGTGTGTGTGCACACGTGCCGGTCTGCATGTCTGTCTGAGTGCTTGTTGGCCTGAGTGTGTGTGTGACCCGCAAGGGCACTTGTCCGTTCGTTGGGGGGCCGGTACTTACTTGTGGCCGTGACATTGACGACTGCAGCGGGGGAAAACACTCAAGTAGCAGGTAGGCCGGTACCGCATCCTGAAGAGGCAGATGTGGGGGTACTGGAGGCCGAGCAGAAGAAGACAAAAGTGGCAATTTTAGAGGCCCAGTAATTGTAGGCTAGGTCTAGGCCGGTACCAGTCCAACCAGTCTGAGTCTAGGGCCTGTACGGGCAATATCAGAGTCTGCAATGATGTTTCCCTCCGAAAGGGAGGAGGTACCGGTTGCTGTGAAGGTCGAGCGGCCTGGAAGTCACCGCCCGAAGAGGCAAGCAGGCCGCTATATCTCCAGGCCGGGCGAAGATCCCAGCCTCATTGTCGGTGTGCAAGTTTGGCAACACACTGGTTGGAGCACTGGCTGGAGCAGCGCTGCTGGGAAGGAGCAAGGACACGGAGGAGGAAGAAGAGCAGGCGGAGGGGGGAGCGCCAGAGGTACTTACCTGGCTATGGTGGCAGCCATCTTCATCACCTTGGTGGGCGCTGCATCAGGAAGGTCCCCGTAGGGGCAGAGCTACACCAAGAAGTTTTGAGGCAGAGGCAGGCAGGGCGGCCTGAGCTAGAGCAGCCATAGCTGCTTTGGGTTGTCCTTTGGGCATCAGGGCGAGACCCAGTAGTCCGCCATAGCCTCGGCCTATGAGAGAGAAGAGTGAGGGAGGCGGCCATGGCTATGGTGGACCTCAAGTGATACCTGCAGTAGAAGAGGGACTTGGACGTTGATTCTGGATCAGCCATTCGACATTGTACTACTATTTCTTGTGTGAATAAGAGAGGAGGAGTAAAGGAGGAGGAGAGTGATTGGCGAAGAAGAAGAGCTTTATCATCCGTCTATGCTGGTGTACATCATCTTCTTCTTCTATCTTTCTTCTTCTTCTTCTTCTTCTTATCCTCTCTCTCCTCTCAAGTTCATTCATTTCTTTCTGCAATTGGACAGCACCATACTATCTGATGAATGTGTACTTCGAAATTGGCCAGGATCATAACAAAAACAAAACAAAAAACAAAAAAAAAAAGGTTTGGTGTTCTCAATCAGCACAGTGATTCTTTCTGTTGCCCTCAAGGTGTCTGTAAATGAGTTCAAGAATTGACGCGCACCCTGCCGCAAGTCATCCTTGCCGCACAACTCAGGTAGAACCGGAAGCTGCAGCGCTTCAAATTTGATTAAGGAAAAAAAAAAAAAAACATGGACATAATTAAAAAACATTGGGCCATAAAATAAATAAATAATAAGGCCGTAAAAGGAGTTGGGGAAAAAATGGCTGTGAATCAGAAATCATTCCACTGAACCGAAAACAAGCAATACTAAAAGGGGAAAAAAAAAAGGGTGCGCTCAGTGTGGCCATAGATTCTTTGAATTCTTTCACATCAACGGTTGTGATGATGTGGTGGGGCGCAATTCTAGTGCAGTGGTCAGGGTAAACCTGATCAGGATCATGACCAAGTTCACGGCAATTTCACGAAGGCTGGATAGCCATGACCCCAAGGTGCCACAGAGACACAGAAATACAGAGGAAAGAGAAGGAGAAGGAACGTTTTTCTCATTTCAAGGTGAGAGTTTTCAAGACATAAAGGATCTCAGAATGTATAGAAGTATCGCGGAAATGCAATAAAATTGAAATGAATATTTGTCTATTGCATTCGTTAGGTGCAAGATCTTTTAAATACAATTACATTGTTTTTCTAATTTTTTGTTTTTGGGTGTGAGTTCAATTACTTCCTCCGTCAATCCTTAAAGAAAGAAATGAATCAAACTTTATCTGTAGAAGAAAAGTGGATTTTTTATGAAAAGCTTTACCTCGTAATAGTGCGGGTACTCGAATAAAAAATATATGTTTTGTAACTGGAAGATCGAAAGCTTATTATAGAGACTTTGGAATATCTCGTCATACATTTCGGGAGACGGCTCATGCTTGTTTATTACCTGGACTTACTAAATCAAGTTGGTAAAAAAATTTAAAAAAAACTGAAGGAGAGGGGGGCAGCGGGGAGAGAGAGAGAGAGAGAGAGAGAGAGAGAGAGAGAGAGAGAGAGAGAGAGAGAGAGAGAGAGAGAGAGAGAGAG